TTCCCCAGATTTATCTGCCTCTCGCCTGCAAAAAGCCAAGGAGGTGGGGGCAGATTTCACCATTCAGGTGAAGAATGAGACCCCACAGGAGGTGGCCTCCAAAGTAGAAAGTCTGCTTGGCTGCATGCCCGAGATAACTGTGGAGTGTACAGGAGTGCAAGCCTGCATCCAGGCTGGCATTTATGTGAGTACCACTTGTCCCCAAGGTAGAGCAGTGATGGTGCTGGATTTTCTTTTTCTGGGATGCCATGATGAATGGCAGTTATTTTGCTCCTATAGTGCTTAATTGCAAGGAGCTTGGTGTGAGGGAGAGAAGGTGATGTTAGACAACAAGCTAGGAGAGACAATTAAAGAGTCACTGTCTTTACAGACAGCATGGGGATAATTGTCTGATTTGATGATCAGGTGCTTTGCCACTTACCAAAGAGACGGTAAGACCTGAAACCCCAAGCATGGCAACACAGTAGTGTCAGGGAGCTGGTACAAGTAGGACAGCATCTTCCATTAAGTTGAAGTTCTATCCAAATAAGGAGAATAATTAAGAAAACTAATTCCAGCAGGTGAAGAAAGCAGGTAAGGAGGAGATGTTTTGCTGTCATGAACTGCCTAATGGGAGGATGTGGAAAAGGTAGTGTAGTTTCACAATGAAAAGACAGGAGACAAATGGGACAAGCTGCAAAAAGAGAAATTCCAGTGGAGCATTTTAAATCTCTTCCATTGAAATCCGAAAGTACTTTTCATACTCCTAAGTGCCAGTCATTTTTCAGAATGAGATTTAGATACCAAAATCCTTCAGGGATTTTCGAAAGATTGCTTTTTAAACCTTGGTTATTGCATATTTCATGCTTACGGGCTCCTGACAGCATCCTGCCTCTCCCACTGCGCTGTAATAACAGTCCATTACAGCCACAAAGCCTGGCTTTATTTTTCACAGACTTCTGTGTAGGCCCTGGTGACTGGTTTTTTGCAAAATACAACATATTTGTTTGTTTGTTCGTTCTCCAGGCCACTCGTTCTGGTGGGACCTTGGTGCTGGTGGGGCTGGGGCCTGAGATGGTCACTGTGCCCATTGTGAATGCCGCTGTGCGGGAGGTGGATATCCGGGGGATATTCCGCTACTGCAACACGTGAGTCTCGTGCAGGGTGGGCTGATGTGTCTCCAAGTCTGTCCTTAAGAAATTCCTGCTTTCCACAAGGAGAGAGGACATGGAAAAGGTTGGTTTTCCTTAAAATTGGTTAAATCTCATATCACTCTGAAATGCCAGCAGTGCAGTACAGACAGTTTGACTGATGTGTTCTGCATTTTATGCCTTGGTTCCTGGATGAGCCCTGCGCTGTAAATTTGACCACAACAAAGCAGCCCAGCTGGTTTGTCTCACTGTCCCATTTCACAGAGCATTTGGTGCAAAGCAAACCCTTACTCTGCTGCAAGCAAGCAGGCCAAAAAAAAAAAAAAGATTAATATTTGTGCCTTCAACTATTATGCCCTGTAGAAAGGGAAGGCCAGGTGCTTTTGGGAGAGACTGGTGTGCTGGCTCATGGCATGGCAGGGAGGAACATACAGCTTTTAGCTGCTTCAATGCTTTGTGCGGGGAGATCCCTTAGCAGCATCTTTGTCTGCCACTGACCGCCCCCCCGCCCCTGCCACTGCTTTGTGAAAAGCTGGCTGCCTCCTGGCATCCACCTTCCTAACTGTTATATTGTCAATTTTGAGGCAAGTGATATGGGGAATCTTAATTCTGGGCAAAGAGTCAAAATCCCAAGTGCCACATCCTGTGTCAAGCTGTGCATGCCCAGCCTTGCTGGTGGTACCCAGCTCCCCTCTTCTTGCTCATCGCGGAAGGAAATCGCATTATCAGTCTTGTTGGATATCAGCAAATGCTTGGACGAGCAAGAGCCTTGTTTAGTTTTCATCATTTTGCTGCAGCTGAAGATATATTTGGAGCCAGTTTGAAGGCGAATATGCTCTCTACAGAGAACTGAACTGCACAGCTTGTGGACAGGCTGGTCGTCGAGTGCAGTGAAAGCTGGCCTTGCCCTGTGGGCAGGAGAAGCTCAGCTGTTCTCTCTTTGGCCTTGTTCCCCTTGCGCCAGGCTTGAGAGCCAGCATTGCACACTTGCAGCCTAGTTTCTGCTCTGTTCAGAGCTGTAGTTTCTTGCTAGCGGAGCAAGAATCTTTGCTTAGTCTGTAGAGGCTGTTTTCCAGGAAGGATATATGAGATGTAGTCAAGCTCCTTCTTAAATTGATAAGTGCCTTTAAGTAGGCTGTTTGGGAACTAGATTAGCTGCTGCATCCCTTTGTACCCCCATCACTCTAATTTGGCCCATACAAATGGAGCAGCAAGGCAATCGTATTGCACGAGTCCCCACCAAAGAGGTTGGAAGCTGACTGAGGCTTTTCCTTTCTTCTCCCTGCACCGAGTCGGTGAGTTTGAACTCCACAGTGATCAGTCGGCAAGCAAAGAGGCCGGGTGAGAGGATAGCGGCACACAGCAGTTTTGTTTTTCATTCAGTGCTGAAGCAGAAGGACGGTTGTTTCCTGTTTTTCACTTAGCCTCTTGTGGGTGAAGCACTGCCAACTGTCTGTGTACAGCAGTGCCTGCCTTCTCGGTGCTCGACAGCCCAAAGCAGTTGGCTTGTCCCATCAAGGTCAGGTTGGATGAGGCTCTGAGCAACCTGATCTAGTTGAAGATGTCCCTGCTCACTGCAGGGAGTGTGGACTAGAAGGCCTTTAAAGGTCCCTTCCAACCCAAAGATTGTATGATTCTGTGATCTCCCATGCCTGATGCTTGAGGTTCTCCCTCCGGAAGATTGTTTGTGGGCAAAATTCCCCATGGTTGCCTGGGCTGAAAAAATTACTGTAATGAAACCAGGTGCCTCCATGCTCTATCCTTGGGGCTCCAAACCGGTGACTGCTCTCATCTCCTGCTCTCCGTTTCCCTTGCAGGTGGCCCGTGGCAATTGCTCTGCTCGCATCCAAGCGGATCAATGTCAAGCCCTTGGTTACACACCGCTTCCCCCTGGAAAAGGCTCTTGAGGCGTTCGAGACCACCAAGAGGGGTGAGGGTGTCAAAGTCATGCTGAAGTGTGACCCCACCGACCACAACCCCTGAGCTGCCGCGATGCCTGTCCCTCTCCCCCGTTATAATGCCTGCCTGAGATGCAAAGCATGAGGCCGCAGGAGGCTGATGTATGGCTGTTGCATGTTTACACAGTCACCTTACGCAGGCGCTGCTTTGTAATAGAGCTAGAAAATCAAATGATAATGAGGGTGAATGGCACTGAGGGATACACCATTAACAAGTAACCACAAATGGAGAACCAATAGGGAATAATTTAAATCAAAATGCTGCTGTTTGGTTAGAGATGATGGTTCGCACAGTTGGCTCTTCTCCGGCAGACCCCACGCGCAGAAGAGCCAGGGTGTCTCTGCGTGTGTTGGGCAGAGCCGCCTGGATGGCCACAGGGTTTGTCCACATGGACGTGCTGCAAGAGGGTGTCACCAGCCGCAGGGCTGAAGCGAGGATGGAGATGCTGGCGCTCCCCCTTCCCACCCCAGCGCCACCCTGGGGCTGTGCTTGCCGCAGCTCTTGCCGCGTGGCAGTCGCTGGGCGCGGGATAGCCCTGTGTGAATACTCTGTCTTCCTGTCGCATCGTCCCTCGGGGATGCTGAGGGACTGTAACAGCCTGTGGAACAAAGCCTGGCCAGCCCACCTCTGAGGGAAGCACCTGCACATTCAGGTCATTCTCACCATGCTCTTTGCAAATAGCAAATTGCGGGCCCAGAGCCCAGGGCTTTTTTGAAGAAGCTACTCTGGAGGCCAGCTGGGACCATATCTGCTGTGTCATCCCCCCAGCAGCTCCCCGTGGGTTGGAAAGGACCGATGCAGAGAGGCTGCGGTGTGTTCGCAGGGAAACTGCCCTGTCTCTGGCTGGGACTGCAGAGAGCCCTGACTTTACGTGGCTCCCAAGCAGGGGCTGCTGCTGGGGGGCACAGCTGGGTTTTGACATGGAGGGGCGAGCAGGTGAGAAGTAAAGGGACAGCATCGCTCAAAGGTTTTACCACTGAGAACAAATCCTAACTTTTCAGGGATATCGGGA